TCATTCTGGTCAGAAAAGATATCAACACGAGGGATTTTATACAGATATTTTTGCAAGAGGTCTTCCGACTTCACGGCCTCCCGAAAAATATCATTACAGATCGAGGAACACTATTCACATCGGGACCATGGAAGAAAGTAACTGGAGAAATGGGGATACAAAACAGGATGAGCACAGCATTCCACCCACAGATGGATGGACAAACGGAATGGGTAAATGCGATACTCGAACAATATTGAAGGGCCTATGTCAATTATCAACAAGATGATTGGTACAAGCTGTTATCTATGGCCGAATTCGCATACAACAATGGAAAACAAGAAACAATCGGTACGACACCATTCTTCGTGAATTATGAACAACATCCACGAAGTCAAACCACATATCATACGATTAATGATGTGATACCGGATAAAACTGATATGGGAAAACTACACGATACATTACAATATGAAATGAGTCAAACACGTACAAGATACCATCTCAACCTTCCACCAGCGATACCCAGGCAAGTCCGGCCCAGGTGATGATCACGTTCAACCAAGGTAAAGGAGAAGGAAAGGCTCCCACACCGTTGCAACAACACGAGGGCTGGGGCGATAGCCCCTGCCAAACCACACCCACTAGCCCTGAATACTCATTCATGGGACCAGCCGATGAAGAACTCAAGGAAAGGGAAAAACAAACACAGCATAACACCATGTCATGGACGGTATGCAACAACGATGGATGTCCCACACACTACGGGGATAAGGAAGGCTCAAGATGGTTCCCAAAGGAATGTCGAAAGTGGGGCCCACACCTGGACCACATCCTGAATCATTGGCAACAATGCTTCAGAAATGGGTACAGGATGCACCAGGCACAGAAAATATCTGCGGGATTCTATTTGCAGAAGGATGAAAGCAGGAAAGAGTTGGAAAGAGAAGATGCCAGAAAGGCATAGGCCGCGAGAACACGGTCTAAGGAGGGAGGGGCCCAAAACTCCTTCGCAGACATGGAACCGGACATCAGGAGCCTACACAGGCAGATCTGGGGACTCCAAGAACAACTTGGCCAAGCCGAGGCCACAATTTCAGCAAACAACAAAACGATAGCAGAGCTAAGACAGCTGAACGATAATCAGCAGTACACGATCGAGATAGTGAATGTGACCCTAGAATAGGTAAGTGTCAGATAGAGGATGGCAGAAGAAAAGTTCCACAAGCAGAGACGGACCATGCGCTTGGCAGGACGGGAACTATTGAAACTGTGAGAAAAAGCCTGATGGGACTCAGGCTTAGGAGGGAAGCTAATGTCAGAACGTGGCTTGGCATGAAAGAGGTTTTCACGTGACGCATGGTTATGAGTCACAGGTATGTTATTGTTTTACACATATGACTCATTCGGGTCATATGATTTGTTATGTGTGGGATTTGTGATGCTTTCGCACCTGGCTCAAATATGAGTCATGGGACGTGCGCCTGATAAGTATACCTTGCAAGTGTGCCTTGCGGGTAAGCCTTGCGCATATGATTTATGTTTCGCTCATGACCTCATTATGAGGTCATGGGTTTCGCGCATATGACTCAGTCGAGTCACATGACTTGTTTATTATGTTCTGATTTGGTTTCGCACATGTGACCACTTTAGGTCACATGACTACGGGTGGGAAGAATACTATATAAGGAGGCCGAGGAGGCCGAGGAGGATAGGTTCTTCACGCTTTGTTCTAAGTACTTTTCCTACTTATTACTTTAACGAATATAAAACATCTTTACGACCTTTATCTTTATTGCAACGTTATTGTTACGCCAAGGAAACCGCTTTATGAAGAAGAGTTAGAGAAAGCTTACGATAGGCGTTCCTGATAGAAGACAAAGGTTTTGTACTATCGGGAACGTAGGCAGAGGCCTAGAGCTATCGTAAAATGAAGGAAGAGGAAGACAGAAAGAGGAGTATTGTTCCCCGTCGCCAAGAACTAACTATCCAAGGAGGGATCATTACGATTGGAGGACTGTAGCCTGAGACTCTTAGAACGAGCTGTTCTCAAAGACCTAGCAGCCACAATCCAGAATCTGGCAGGAGAGGTGACACTGGACTCTAGAGAAAGCACCATAAGGAGAACATTAAGGAAGTTAAAATTTGAAGTTTTCTGGGTAAAGAGGAAGTTTTGGTTAAGCAAGAAGGCTATAATGAAGAGGAGAAGATGGTGTTTAAAGAAGAGGAAATAGAAGAAAGAAGATTGTAGGAAGATTATCTGGTGTGATAAGATTCGAATTGAAGTTGGTTTAAGATCAGGACTATTACATATACGCCTCGGTTATGGAACTTCTCTTTGGCCCCACTATATCCAGCTAACATTTCACTCCAGACAATTTGGTATATGCCTTTAGGCTACTTATTCCTATAGAAGTCGTACCCCACTCATATTCTTTCATCGCCATAGGCCTGAGGAGTATGAAAGAGAGATCGAGGTAGTTTTAATGCTACTCAATATAGAAGTGAGGTTCCGATACCACATCTTATTCTATATTGGGAGAGGCTTCAGGAAAAGCCTCGTGGGCTACACTTCATGCAAGATAGTGCTGGACCACACTGAGCAAAGAAAATTGCCCACTTTCTTACTCAAAGTAGGATACAGATATTATCTTGGCCAGCCTCATCACCTGATCTCAAGCTCATTGAAAATGCCTGGTTCCTGCTTGAGTAAAGGCTATAGAAGCGATTCAGGCAACAATACTCTCACCCCCAAACTGAAGAGGAGCTCAGCCAAGCCATGCAGGACAAGTGGGAACAAATCTCACAGAGTCTACTTGATCGCTGAATTGACTCAATACCAGAGCAAATTAGGGAGACTTTATACACAAATGGGGGACATACAAAGTGATAATGGAATTACTGGCTTTCCTTCTTTCATTTTACATATCTCTTAAAATCTTATTTTCTTTCTGATTTTGCATTCACAATCTTTCATTTGAATTGAATTGTCTGTACTGTGGGGAGGTGCCAAGACTTTCTATCTAGTATTTTGTACATATCAATCTCAGTTATGTCCTGTGGCTATAATACGACGAAATTAAAGGTGTAAGAATAGCACTGTATATGTTGCTGCTATCCATCCGACCAGATCCCGTTTGCAGGATATCTGGAAGCGAATCTTCGGCTATGTCTTCAAAGTGGAACATTGTAAATCCATCAACTACTCAGAGAGTTACTAGACTTCGAAGATGTTATATCTTGGGTATGGGCTGAAGGTAATGGGACGTTTTCGTACCAGGAGATAGTATCAAATGATAAAGGTTCTCAATGAGAAACTAATACATTTGTACCAACCCTACGATAACCAGAAGAGTCTAGAACTCCCAGAAGCACTACCACCAAAGCCAATAGACTTCACGGAGTGTTACCACTGGGTTCAGGAATACACTAAGGTTGTGGGAATGATTCTCAATACTAGAATGGCAATTGAAACCCTGTTACCCAGAGTAACCATGAGTTGCCTACTGAGGGATTATCTGTTAACCCGGTAGAATAGGAAGTACTCCAGAAGAAATCCATGCGTTGGATATAGAGTTATGGAGGTTTAAAGTGAGGCAACCTAAGAAGATTACAATCACGACTATCTCCACAGATACAACCCACAGATGAAACTAATTATTTCATCAATAACAGAGACAATTGGTGCCAACTCAGTTCAACTTGAAAACTAGGCCATAAGTCTAAAGACTCTAATAATCAGATAATTACTACTGGGAATACCATAGCTCCTAGTTAGCAATATCGTAATTATTGAAGAGGGTGTAATGATTTTCAGGGTCTCCAAGTATTTGCACCTTTGAAGTACACTCAACGTTGCTAGTTATAACCAGAGGTACCTAGTTGTATAATAAATAGATGTGATCCATGAACACTCATACGTTAAATATAAATATTGAAGTGCCTCCCAAGCTTTTAGACATTATCAAGCAACGGAGAACAGACCTTAACAATATAATATTGTCTTCACGATTCTGCTCTACTTCACCTACTTTACTTCACTCTTAGTAGTCATAAATGAAACAAGTGTAATTCGAGCATTCTTAGACAATCTTCGTCTACAGAAACGAATCTTAGTTGGCCTAGACAACTCTGAAGTCTATCAGGTTGTCTCCACCTAACAAGGGAGAAAGCAAAAATCCAACTATGCTGATGCTAAGTGAGGCTAGAGTAAAAGCAAGGTAGAAACAAAAATCAACATCATGAGAAGTTAGGAGAAGGGGAGGAAGGCTGCAAGATGGTAGATCCCAAGAGAGAAGGCAAGAACAATGTCCTAATATGATAGGAGAATGGAAAGTGATTGCCTAGTCCTCCTCGAAGGGAGGAACCAGATGCAAAAAGTCATGATAAAACTTGTAGTGTTGATGTCTTCCCAAATAGGAAATAAATTCCAACCACTGGAGGTGTAGTGGAGACAGTCAATAAGTAGTAATGAGGAGCGACTAGTAGTATATGAAATCTACTAAAGTATATTCAAATTCCCTTCTACCCTTACAATCAACTACCTCTTTCATATCACGAACTTACTAAGTAGAGCCATAAGCTTAACAATATTAATTTTTACTATTTTGTTCCTTCAACTCTACTCCTGAAATTTTGAGAGTTTTATCTATCTTTATCTTGAGAATATATTTTCAGTACAGTCACACTCCTGGGATCCATCTTCCTACATGAAACCCCCGTTACAGTACTACATCTACATATTCTATTACAGTACCCCGTACCTTGCATTTCTCTTACTAATCATCAAAGCTCTGTTTCTTTATTGATTTCTATTTTTTTTATTTTTTTTATTACACCTTTGTTTATGCTATACTTGCATTTAAAATACCACTTTGACTATGGCTGGCAAGATTTTTGTTTCCCGTTCGCAAGCTTTCATGTCACCAGTGATGATAATGGAATAATGATCTGATTCGATCGGACACGAAGTCTTTATATAGTACATAATCAGAAAGATAGATAGATATCATACTCGTGGAAATAAATAATCCCAATCCATTTCCCAAGTTTAACCCGTGACGTAAGGAAAAAATAAAATAAGGGCAGCACCTGTTCTGAAAACCTTTCCAGACACATCATAATTTGCCCCAACCGACCAAGCGAGCCTAGTATTTCACCCATTGTAATGAAAAGTGTCCGGGGAAGAAACAAAGGAAAACCAAGACAACGGAAAAAAGCTAGGGTATCGTTACATGAAGAGTAGAGGGGAGGTCGAAAAAAAATCAAAACACAAAATCAATCACATCATCTCACTCTCCTCATGCCTGGCCCAGAAGAGATATTTAATTGACGGAAGCCGCCCATGTTAACCCGAATATGGGCTTTTTAAGAGCCAAGGAATAGAGAAACAAGAAAAAAAATCAAAAGTGATATTATATGCTCGCTGAAAACAATATTCGTGAAAATCGTATGTCGTTTTCCACTGCCTTGGCCAATGTTGTATTTTTTTCTTTTTTATATATTTCTGATATCTGATCCCAGAGCTCTCACCTCCCGACCATTTCTCCGGGCTCATGACTGAATGCACAAACCCTATTATTCGGGCCCCAGAGAATAAGCTCCACCTTCCTCAGTTCCAGAAATTGTTGTTCAAAACTCATCAGCATCTGTGAGTTTCTCGACAAGATGCATTGACAGAATCCTGCAATAAGGTTAGCGCTTGGGCTAGGAGCAAAAGGGTCAATAGGAAGACCGACATAACAAGTAGACCAATTGTGACGATGATTAGTAGCGCGAACCCAAACCAACCTAATACCATTGCTGTTACTCCGACTCCTGTTGATACCGAACCGTTTTCCAAATTTTCTGCTATCGTCGCCGCAGCTACACTCGCCGTGTGCTGCCACAAGACTGATACGAGGACGAAGATGGCGGCAACAAAGATAACAGCGAGCGCAATCTGGGAGACAGCACGACTGGGGAGACGTCTCCTTTCGGGGCCTCCCTCGAATTCTTCCTCGTAACCGGGGAAAGTAGCTAGCAAGAGTAAGGTAACAGCCGCGAGAATGATAGCGATGATCCTATAACCGATCAGTACATATGCATCTCCTTTGTCTGTAGATGGGCCACCCACAAGAGGTAGGGGAAGACAATGCTTTCCCGGAAAGTCTGGGCTACCCAGATAAGATTCAAAGGATCTTGGTCCACTGAAACCTGAGCGGCAAGTGAAGACGCATTTGCACTGCACAGCCAAGATCCAGCGTCAGGATTAATGCAAATACCGAAATATCTAATCCCAAATGTTAGCCGCCGTCGCAGACTCCTAAAGAGGCTTGATATTCACCCTACTCGAGCCTCTAGCGCTGCGTCGCCAACAATGTTCCCAATGGCGCGGGTGGCACCTGGATCAACCTGTGCTGGATCAAATTCGGGCGCCGTCTTGTCATACCACAGGTTTATCAGGAATATCGAGGGGATTAATGGGCTCGAGGAAGAACATCCTGCCAGTAACAATGCTGCACGCACGTCAGCTCGGCAGTTCCGTTGCAAAGAACTGTATTCCAGTTCCGAAAGGTGTCTGCTATCGGACATTTTGCGACTTACACAGCAGGATTATAGCAATCAAGATTAGTACCATTAGAACATGGTGGTATGCGAGGAAAGGAACAAGCCCTAGACAGTCGTTAGACTTACTCCAAGCCGCGGAATGTCATTCCTGCAGGGAAGAAGCGTAATTGGCGTTCGGATATGTTGCAACGTACTTTCAAAGCCAAACACAAATCTAATCCTCCGTTCCAACATCGTATGTTCTTCGACTACCCACCGACGTCAAGAATGATGGAATGCACGGCGAAGGAATTCCTCAAAAGACTGTTGGAATTGTTGAAAAGGACAGCCCCCGGAATTTGACGAGTGATGGGGGGGTGAGAGGGTAAGTGTCGTCAAATTGTGTGCAAGATGGTTAAAGACCAAGGATTGTATTTTCTCTTGCCAGAAATGTGTAGGTTCGAGCGTGGTATGAGACTGATTGCGAGATGGATTGAGTGGGAGGTGTGGAAGAGTTGGGAGGGTGTTGAAAGTGACGAAAAGAGGAGGTTGGAGGGTGATAGGACGGTCTGTTCGATTTAGGGAATCCAGCAAAACGGGAGGGTGGGGATCAGCCATAAACACGATGGTTGCTACAGCAATGCGACGCTGCCCCAGCCAATCAACCGGCCACGTCACTCCCCAAGAATTGACACCAGCCACCTCGAGGACAGGGAAACCAGCCACCCAAGAGGGAAAGTGACGGCAAAGCACCAAAAAGCGCCCTTGATCTTCATGGTTCCCGGGCGCCTCTATCATCTATCTTGCCCCTATCCAGATTTCGCCTACGGTACTCGAGTACTCGTACAGTACCAGTACACTTGCGGGGAGTGCCAAGGACTGGGCTTTGCTGCAAAGTACCGGTATTTTAGTCTCTATGAATTGGGGCAAAACAATATCGACACGAGCAGGGACATTTCGAGAAGATTCAAGGAACCCCAGGGTACCCCGTCTTAGAATTCTTTCTCTTGCCAAAGTCTAGCATAACTCCTGGGGAGGCGGTGCTGTCCTACAACTTGATTACTGCTCCCCAGGGTTGTGGGGTGATGGCATAGCCAAAATTTGAAAGAAAAACCACGTATTCTGCAGCACTTGTCTTCAGAAAAAGGGGTCAGCTCGGCATCATTTGGCGTCGCCAGTCCTTTTGGCTCCGGACGCTGTATTGGGTGAGAGCGGCTAATGACGATATCTGTACCATAACGTTTTCCATACTAGCACTCGTATCACAAAAGATGCTGTGGTGATGTGGTTTATATGAGTTTGGAATGTGAGACACCGCTGGGCAGTGGTCGTGGGTCGGAGCCATAGCGATCACTGCATCGGGATCGAATCATCAATCGCAGAAGACTTCTAGAAGCTCTATGCCCATTGCGAACGCTGGAATCATGGTTCGGTGATACAGGAACCTGAGCAGTGATTGATCCACCTTCGGCAGAACACAATCGTAGTCTAATTAAAATAAAACTAAAAATTCCGAGCGAAAGCTTGTTTGTTCATTCTCGACCAGATTTTAACTTACATAAGCAAGACACCCCTCCATGCATGTCGTCCAATTTCCCCATTTTTCCTTGGCCCACGAAAGTTTTCCTCCACTATCCATCCTACCGTCTGAACCCCCATCAAAATAAATATAATGTTCTATGCCAGAGCTGTCTCTCGCCTCTGGCGGGCCCCTTCCGCTAGAGTTTTCCTCTCGCTTTCAATTTCTACCCCCAGGTCTCAATCCTCGGCTTTCCTCCGACCTGCTTCGGTAGCACAGCATCCTCGTCTTGCCAGTCGGTTTTCTACCACTAATTCTCGTTTCGAGAAATTGGGGCAAGGTATGGACTGCAATTGGGCTTGGGTCCAGTAACTTCCTGGACAGAACTATCTCACTTACTCAAATCACAGTTGACGAGGAATTGGCGCTAAAACTCCTGACCGAGATTGACCTTGAAAAATCAAAAGATGAGGCGGAGTACCCATTGAGTGTAAAGGAATATTTGGAGACTGGCCAATTTGAGGTGTCCTTTTCCCTCTATTCCGCATGAGCTTTTGAGTCTAACAACCCCCCCCACAGATTATCGATAAGCCAGGCCAGGAGGAAGTCCAGCTTGTCCGCAGGTTCGGAGATGAGATGTGAGTTTTCCCCACCTCCGCCTTATATTCGGGGAGTGATCCTTATTGAATATGCATCAGTATCCGTGTTGAATTCTCCATTTCGGATCTCAATGCTCTTGCGAACGAAGGATTGAATAATGATATTCTCTACGACGGACAGCCAGGAGAGGGTGACCACAACGCTTTGTCTTCACAATCCGGGGGTGTACAATCCAAGGCTGCCCAAGGCGAAGGAAGAGCCCTAGCAGCCAACGATACGGACAGCGACGAATACGACGATGATCCCGAGCCAGGTTTCCCCGCTCGAGTAAATGTTACGATCGAGAAGGTCAATCTCACAATTTCTTTTGAGCTAGGTTACGCTTACTAACTTTTCTGACAGCCAAACTCGGGCGCACTCCAAATTGAGGCCATTGCTCAGGATGGAATGATTGTCATTGACAATGTATTTTACCACAAGTCCGCAAAACTTGCCACGGCTCAAACTGCTGAGGCCGATTGGGAGAGGAGGGGTATCTATGCTGGACCTCCGTTTGGTAACTTGGATGAGGATCTGCAAGTCCTGCTGGAGAGATATCTTGATGAGAGAGGAATCAACACCGCTTTGGCACTCTTTGTTCCCGACTACATTGACTACAAAGAGCAGAGGGAATATATTCAGTGGCTGGAGAGTAAGTTTGGTTTATTCCAGGAAATGTTATACACGACTGGGAACTAACACGCCCCTGTAGGTGTCCACAATTTCGTTTCGAAATAAGGGTTTTCCTTTTGTTCCCGCCTGGCTTTCCAAACCTAATTGTATAGTAGCCACTGCAAAGTGATGAGAAAATGTTTCACTTGTTACTCCTCTCCGTGCCCGTGATCGGGAAAATAGAACAGAATACTTTAATTTGTGGCAAAAATATGATCAGACCAGTATCGTTTGTTGAACGGGGATGATTAACATGAGGGTAACTCCATACTAAGGGCACAATGGGTATCTAGGGAATGAAGGGTCCTAAACAGTTTCTTCGTTGGTCACTCTTGGACCGATGCCTAAGGAAAGCCCTCTGGCCAGATTTGCCCAATTGAGGCCTCCAAGCTCCGGCTCATTCTGATAGCGAGCAGATTTCGCAGCCGCCAAAGCGTCGTCCAGTTGCCCCTGATGCAAATGCTTAATTATCAAAGTATCCTGTGCAGCCGGGAGATTGGAGTGGCGAATGTGATCCTCAAACATCTGTTGCTCTCTGGGGGTGAATGGCAAGCCGATTAGTTTTAAAGAATTGGCCTCTTTGCGAACTGTGAGGCAATGATCGATAAGACTAGTGAACAGCTCATGCTGTAAAGATTCCGGAACTGTTCGTTGGTAGAGAAAGGCTGATTCAATAGAGGTAGCGCTGAGAGCGGTGAAGTAATCCCTTATTGAGTCGTCTGTGTTCAGTTTTGTCTGCGTCGCTTGAACGAAAGTGGTAGCAAGCCTTGGACCCAGTGTAGGCCCAGCATGACGGATGAGGGCAGAAAGTATCTTGTGAGGATTGATGGGCGTAACGGCAGGCTCAGCCAAGCGCATAATAGCTTCCTAGAGAGCAATTGTGAGAGCCAAACATTTGTGGTGGGTGGGGGAGGAGCATACCTCGAACCGGAAATTATCCAAAGCCCAGAGACCATCCATCAGACTACAAAAGTTTGGCTGAACCAGAGCCTTCTGAGCGTAGCTTCCAGCGTCATCATTGTCAGGGTGTGCGTGATCGAAATCCTTTTTGAGGTAGTATATGAAAGAGTCTCTCTTCAGTTTATCTAATTCTTCCTTCTCCATGATGACGGTGACAAGTGTTCGTAAGGCGACAACGTTCTTTGGTGGGTAAAGTCGGTCAACTGAAGGGTTAACGTGTTATTATCATTATCGCAGTGATTGAGGAATTGGCTCCAAATGGAAAACTAAGGACTGGATAATTACCATCCTCGATACGAGCTATCTCCCTGAGAACATAATCAAAGAACAGACACCCGTCAAGCGAACTCCGATGCCGCATAATTTGACCAGTACGATCCCTGGTATATGGGAATTTCCTATCGTCGGGAAAGATGGAGCGGTAAATAGCAAGGGAGCTTCGGTCAAGATCCATGATAGAGCCTCTGGATTATGGGAGTTGAGAATTCTGTGGGGATCAATGAATTCACAAAGGAGGGATGGAGGGAGTACCAAAGTGTGAATGGGAATGGACTCTCATGAAAATGATGAGTAAGCTTTCAAAGTGAAAACAAGCTTTCTGGAAGCCAAGGATTTTCCAGCTTGGAGGCTGAAAAGTTGCCAAGTCGTGGAGTCGCGGCTAGACGAACTCCTCCTCACTCGAGCAGAGTGCCAGTACCGTATGATATGATACCTCGAAATTTACAAAGTATCCGGACTGCTTGATTAGTACCTTTCTCATCACCAAGGCGTCCAAATACTTTGTCAATTGCCAAGGACTCGTGGGGACTCTATGATACTGTAGCTCGTCCTGCTAGTCACGGGTCAAGGGACTTTGTATCCCATGCAAAGCCTCAACTTCTCAACCCCCTCGTTACTTTACTCGATAAAATTACAACACCTTCCTCCTTGGAAACCATACCCCCACGACATCTTCATAATTCCGATTCCACGTGCCAAGAAGATTGTCCTCCATCGCCTAACGGCGCATTATCTGCATTGTTGCATTCAAAATGTCGCAAGTCTGCAGATTCTACCAGCGGGGCCACTGTAAATTTGGTTCCAACTGCAATTTCCTACACCCAGGTGCCATTACCTCGGCCCCTAACGCTTTTGGTGGAGCTCGCAATAGTTCGCCCCCCAATTATCTGTCTCTTCCATCCTTGTCCCCCCTTTCTCCCGGGCTAACTACTATTCTATAGGTTTCGGTGGTGGAGGCATTCAAACAAAGCTGACCGACGGGTGGGTTCCTCTTTCCCCTCCCTTTTCTTCCACCAACACTATTTCTCCCCTCTGCTTTGATTTACCGCGTGCACTATCGCAATGCCTCAGAGGAATCACAGATCGTTCGAGACGAAGAGACCGAAAGAAGGATTGATTTCTATCCTTGCAGTCGAATGGGAGTCTGGTTAAGCTATGGGGCTGACCAAGAATTCTAGGTTTACTATCCCCAGCGCGGATACGATTAGATTAGATCTGAGCGAACGGCCTACCTGGTGCCTATCAAGCTATGCCCCCAGCAAGGATTCGCCAGCTCAGCTGATCGATGGGAAAGATATCTCCCCAGAAGAAGCGCGCGTTATGGCATACAGGTTGCGAGCCGAGGGGATTCCTCAGGCATATGTATGGGGCTGTCATTTTCTGAATCGTGCGGTGACTAGAGCTGACAAAGCTCCAGGAGGTGGAATGGAATAGATTGACGAGTGAAGTGTCGTCACAGATCAGAAATATACTCGATAATATTCCAGGCGCTATTGAATTTCTCAAGAATGCCCAGGGCGCGCCATCTCGATACAACTCAGCTCGGGCTTCCAGCCAGCAGCAGACTTCGCCATTTGGTGATCAGGTGAATACCATAACGTCGACTCTGTGAGCTCGGGTGGAGCTATCTTTTCTCCAGGCCGAACTAATTGAAGTAGAATTCACAGCAGGGTATTGGTGCTAGCTCGAGTTCAGCTCAGACACCATCATCATCACCTTTTGGTCAAGTTCAGCAACCTCGGTCTGCTTCGGGCTTCACCTCCGCATTTTCCACGCCTACTCCTTTTGGAGCCCGACCCACCCCAGCGTTTGGCCAAAGCCCATTCGGGCAGCAGGTAGCGCAGCAAACCGCACAACAGCCGGCAGCGTCGGCGTCGGCGGCACCGGTATTTGGGCAGCCGGCTTTTGGGACCCCATCGCAGCCTCAGAGTGCATTTGGCAGACCAGCTTTTGGGCAACCAGCCTTTGGACAACCAGCTTTTGGTCAGTCCTCGTCATTGGGATCGCAGCCTTCACCCTTTGCCGCGGCAGCCTCAAACGCTGCTCCGGCTCCGCCGTCGGCTTTTGGTCAGCCGGCATTCGGGGTGTCTAGTGGGCCAAAACCGGCATTTGGCCAACCAGCGTTTGGAAAGTCTGCCTTCTCTCAAGCCCAGTCGTCGCCTTTTGCAGCTGCTGCAACTAGTCCATTTGTTCAAGCTGCTGGATCATCCACCACTCCATTCACTCAAGTTCCCCCTACATCGTCATTCGGCCAATCCTCACAATCTCAGACTGCCTCTCCTGCGAACCCATTCGGATCGCCACCTCAACAAGGCGCTGCGAACCCATTCCAACAAACTCAGGCAGCCCAAGCCAGTCCATCGCCATTCTCAAGCACAAATCCCTTCCAACAAAGTCAGCAGCAGCAACAAGCTACAAGCACTCCCTTCTCACAAGCTACCCAGGGACCAGCCCAAGCTCCCACCTCGCCGTTCGGCCAACCAACCCAACCCGTAAACTCCTTCGGCTCACCAGCCCCGCAGTCATCACCCTTCAGTACACAAAACCCTTTCCAGGGTGCCCAGCAGGGGCAAGCTTCTTCTTCCGCTTTGCGGACACACGAGATGAACCCCCAACTTCGCGAGCAGCAAAAGACTAAGAAGTGGGATGATCCGGTTATTGAATACACGCCCGAGGAGCAGGCTATGTTTTCTGCGGGTTCGTTTGTGCTTGGGCAGGTACCCACGGTCGCGCCTAGCCGCAATATGTGTTGGGGGTGAAAAGTTTTCTCCCCGGGTCATGTTTTTTTCTCTTAGTATCTTCCTTTTTGTTTTTATTCAGCGTGTTACGGTTAACGTTCCTTTTTCTAATATCAGTTAGCGGAGGGGAGGTTTGTTGGGAGGTTTGCTAGGAGGTTCAAGCTGTTGGTTTTATGTGAAATGCTCTAGAATATTTGATCATTTGGTGCTGCTGAATCGTAGAAATATAATCACAATCCCATTCAGGAAGTGTCCACCCGTTTTCAAGGGCTGGCTGTGCTGGGCTGGGCATCACGAGCTCACCTTATGTATTGAGGTCTGTGTACACTTGAAAGCTCAATAGTATTATGGTTATTGTGTGCTCAGTTAAATCTATTAAATTTTGTCCTCTTGATCGTAAAAAGCTAATTTATTACGGTCGGACTGCTTAGCAGTGCATGACCAGTGGTGCCCGAGCTAGAAGTTTGACGCAATGTCTTGAACGAGGTTATTTCATGAATATGGTGTCATAGTACTGTGCTCTTCTATTACGGACATAGGAACATAGGAACGACAGTCCCCAGCCGTATAGTGCGCCCCCTCCAAACCCCCATCCTTCTCACAGCCAAAACCTTCCTTTCCCCACCACTGGTACCCCAACTGCTATTGCCCCCCCGCACACGAAGGGGCCTTGCCGCCAACAATTATTGTCCGTATTTGCAATTTCACTTCTCCCAAGGGCTCCTATGTATGTGCTCCTGGGGCGCATTTCATTCTCAAGAACATAAACCGTTGACATTAAACTCGGACGGAAAACACCCAGGTCCAACTGGCAGTAGGATGATAGGTATCCGTTCCATGCTTTTAGGATGAGATACCTAGCTAATGCAGCGGTTAAGATGTTTAGGGACCAGGCAACACCTGTGTGTAGCAGGAGCCCAGGAGTTTCAATTCCCCCTCAGAATGAGCTATTGAATGATCCATCACATGGGATAAGACTGAAAATTCTGCCCTCTGGGCACTAGGAACTGGGACCCTTCACATTCTTCCATAAGGTTGTGATCAGGCTTGCAGTGAGGTGGCAGAATCCAACTCTGAATCGGAGGCCTAGGAGAAAAGTGCGAGATTTGCTGGGTAATTTAGCAAAAGAGCAAGAGAAAAATAATCCAAGGGTATGATAAAATGGAAGAAAAATTGGTTCGACTCCTTTGATTTTGGAAACTAGAAGCTCCGACTCTGGTTCGAAAATGAGCGAACCGACCCACTAGGGCGGCCACCCACCACCAAACTGCCCCCCCACCATCGGCCGCCTTGAATACTTAGAGTCAGTCTACTACTCGTGTGCTTTCTCAGAAATGTGGGGTATTGGTCAAAAAATTACGGTCACGACTGGCGAAACGTATAAGGACCCCCCAAGAAAGTAGTGGTAGCAGCAACACTCAAACCTCTGCCAGAACTCGTTTGAGAGCTTTATCATTTGTGCAATGCCACGGGGCTCGCCCTTATGACCCCGAGCGAGGGGAGTTCTTGGTAGGACAGCTAGGACTCTTCCCCGCCATTGCGAAATCTGTCGATAGGGATACATGATATTAACTACGACAGCAAGTGTCGACCGGGGCCTGGGGCTGTAGGGGCCTATAATCTGCTATCACAAGAAATCGCTCGTTTGATTGTCGCTGTCGCTGCTGGAAATATTGCTTCAATGTGACGGAAGTATGATCAGCTTGGAATATTTGGATGATATCACTGTGTATATGTCCCTCTCATGAGTATAAGTACTACGCCTTGGGACACATCGAATGCAGAGGTATTCTCTCAACCGCCGATCTATACTCGTGCCAAGCTTGTGACACAGTGACATGTCCCGGATTTTGCTCGCAAACGTGGGCACTCAACTGAGTGGCCGACAGTTCAACGTGAATTTGCAGTTCAAAATCACATTTGTGGTTCAATGTAGGTAACTTTGGATCTTGGCTTACGACAGAGTCACTCTCACGGTCTGCTTGTCCGAGTACTGTACCAAGCTAAGTAATATACGTTGCTAGAGAGATTAATAGTTGGATTTTTGTCTCGTCTATCTACGCCTTTCAGGCGTATCGTTCGTATGCGGTAGCCCCGAAATGCCATATTATGCTGCAATGTTCCTAAGAGCAAGCTAAAAACTATTGTAAGTCACAAAGTGATGTTGAACTGCAAACTCACGTTGTGACAACATTTCTCTTCGATTCCCCACCTTGCACATTGACCTCCAACAATCCCTCGCCCCCGCGGATACAAATTCTAGCACAAGGTATAATAATGATAAATATTTTGGCACTCGCATCACTCTTCTCGGTGTATACGAATAGCTAATACTTAAATTCTAACGGGGTCAGGGTTTAGCCAGCAAAGGAACACGAGCTCTGATAATCACGTATTTCGCGCTTCATTCCGAGGAGGTAATATGTGTGTTAATGGAAACGATTCCTCCATGGTTTCCAACACTAGGTTAAGGATTCATACGGAGGTACAGCACCTAAGTTTTGTATGTTACACTCGCAGTGGGCATCGTGTTAGCAACCGGTGTAACATACAAAACTTAGGAGCTGTACCTCCGTATGTAGAAAATGTCTTTTACGCCACTCCTATCTAAATATCTACCTCACAACGAGACATACGGAAATCCTGTTCAACGATCAGCGGTAGTTACCTCCTAGGAACGAGTATTGTATTCACCATGCTTAAAATCACCCTTAGACTAGTTTTTTTCTTCCCCTAATCGGAGGAAATGGAGATGCCAATAGCCCAGGAGCGCTAGGGCATTTTGTATGTCAGTTTGATCGCTGGAAGTACTGTGGGCAATCACTTTAAAACTACAGCATGTCGGAATAGACAAGTGAATCGTAGAATGAAAAAATTCACTCCGAAGATTAACCCCCCTCGACATATCCAACCATGTCACATGGGATCTTACTCCTCGGACAATACCGCTCCCGCAACTATTACTACCGGCGAGTACCATACCGCCGTAGTTTCCAAGTAATAAGTGCCATTCACTTCGCTCAGGGCACTCATTCCCTGCGAGTTATCTATGTGTCGGGATCCGTGTGCGATCGGGGACCAAAAGAACTGCTAAGAGGTTGTGTCTATGCTGGAGCGAAAAGTATAATTCCGCATTAATTCTTCCTGGGGAGTCTACACAACGGTCCAAAACTAGAACTATTCCGAACGTAAGGTAAGTTGTACTTGTATATTTCGCTTGTTAGTCTACGAGTACTAGTCCCGCGAACGCCCAGGTTAATCCATGTCCGGTAACCTCTCTACTCGAGTACCCGGGTACATAGGAGGGTCGGAATCACATGGTATCACTCGGGGTCGATTTTCCAATCTGAACATGAGCCAGACTGCAATACAGTGGGCTACTATGAATATAAGCGAGGGGTTGGAATTAACTCAGATACCGGTAGTTTAATTCAATTATCACCCCCCCCCCTCCCGGCCGAGGGCTCCTGGTGTCTAGTCTACAGATTGCTCACCATTCCTGTCCACCACTCTTGAATACTGGCGCACGAGTCTAGCGTGGGATGGTTAGATCCCGGTCCGGATCCAGACAACAGCGGACCGCCACACCTAAAATCCCACGTGCACGAGAATAACTGTTCCTCGGAAGGTGTTTTATATGTTGCGAACTTGTGGGGAAGATGATGCTTAGCCGTGTTTATGCGGTTCTGACAGTGTTGAACTATGGAGAGGAGGGATTGTAAAGACTGTGGATGAATGGAAGTTAGAAACTAGTTTAATAATTACAGCTTGTCATGGAAATGGAATTGTTGACCTGGTTGTGAGAAGGCTGGGGTTGGTTGATGTCATGACTGGTCACTCATCATCTAAGGATAGGACTTTTTTTTTGGCATGGGGACTACAATACTGTCTTTACGATGCTGTTAGTTCTTAACGTCGACCAGGTGGAAAGCATCCTATACCGGGAAAGGCCGCAAAACAGTCTCAAAAAGTCGTGTATAAGGACGCCGGGTGGCCCACAAGGAAATCAAATGCAACCACTAGCTATTATAGTATACATGGGACCTTCCCACAACTCACAATCCACCATTTTTGGGAAGGAAAAAAACACATTTCCACCCCCAAACCTAAGCACAAATCAATCCGAAGCTATAAAACCAAACCAGCCCCCGCTTTCCCATTATTGAGGTAAATGATAACACCATAGCCCTCCCGGTCTCCTTGAATCATTATAATATTGGTGTTCTCTCTCCGCTGACCACACAAACTAAACGAATAGGACCACCTTACCGCTGGCAGTTCCGCCAGCAATCCAATCCCGGGTCGGGTGGAATTGGGCTGCCGCAGGAACAGTCGTAACGCTCTCGTGTGATAGTTGGGCTAGTTGCTCGCCGTTCTCGGAGTAGACGTCTAGGAATCTGCTCATATTTGCTATGACGAGCTTTTGCTGCCCGTTGGGGGGTGCTTGCTGCCATTGGGCACGAAGGATGGTAACCCATCTATAGCATGCGTTAGCACTAACTGAAAAGGAGAGGGGGAAGAAAGGACATGCCTGCCAGTCTGATTATTGTGGCTAATAGTCACGTCCGGTTCAACCGTTCCAAAATTGCTGGCAGGACCCCACCTAACGGCGTCAGGGAATTTATAGATCTTAATAGTATCATCGTAGGAGGTTGTGGCTAGGCTTCCGGTTGAAGACCAAAGAGCACAGCTGACGCTTAGTCTGCTGGGGTGTTCGGCTACTAACGCGAGAGTTCGGTATTCGGATGTTTTGACGACTTTTCGAAGGTCCCAGATTTTGAGGGTGCGGTCTAGAGACTGTCACTTTAGGTCAGTGTATGAAGTTGGAGTATGGGGCATATCACTTACACCGGTAGCGACAAGGTGAGGGGCACGTGGGTGGGTGGAAAAGCCTCCTATTTTCTTCTCATGCAAAGTCCATATGTCTGTCTCCCTCTGCCTTAGATCCCGTCTGCCGAAAAGACCGTCTAATGTGGAAAAGTAAAGAATGTTGGTATCGTGAACTTCAACACCACTCAAGGCATCACCGTCTTCTGCGACAAAAACCTCAGAGGCCACACCAGTGGCCAGATCGAACTTTCGTACACTCCCGTCATAGGAAGATGTGTAAAGGCTTGTGGCAGAGATAGGATCAAAAGTAAAGGTGGATATTGTTCGAGAGTGCACTTTATATTGACTAATGTCGGGTGTCGGATTTCCATCTTCATCCTCTTTGTGAGATTGGGCGTCGAATATACCGAGGGTTCCCATCTAAATCAGAAATAGTTAATGGAGGAATTCGTTGCGGTGGTGGGGTCTGAAGGTCTTGCCTTGTCGCCAGCAAAGATTAGTTGTTTTTCAGTCGTCGGGTGGAATCCCATATGATACTAGGTGGCTAGAGTAAGATATTATCATTCCCATGGTAACAAGGGGGGGGTTCTTACTATGCGCTCAGGACAAATTTTGATATCTAATCAACCGCAGCAATTAGCTTGAACTCGCGTTCTGATTGGTACTTTGTAGATTTTTTGCTTCTTTGGTTAACTTGCCATTCGGAAGGTGCTGGTCGTAAAGCCTCAACCCCATCATTTCCTGCCTCATCGCTCTAAGATCCTTATCCGTGGTTTCCTTGACATTTTCGTCTGTAAATGTCCTCTCAAACCTGGCGCTCTTGGTAACGTCAATCAAACCTTGTCGAATTTCAAAGCTTAGATCTCCAGCGACCCTCGCCCTCTTGGCCTTCTCTGCCTCCTGAAGAGCAGCAACACCCTCCTCGTACTTTCTTTTAGCGACCTCAGAATCTGCTGGCAAACCGGCAAGGCGAGAAGACTTTCTTGTCGGCAAAGGACTTTGGAGCTCTTTCTTCACGCTTCGGTTCTTCGGTTTGCTAGCGCTGCCGCTGGACGATATTGCGGCTCTTTTGGTGGTACCGACAGAGGCGGCGTCCAGTCGGAGTCGCAGGAGTAGCTCTTTGTTTTTCAGAATGTTTTCTTGACGGAGCCGCTCATATTCGTTTGAGTCCTCCATAGTGGGCTGTATGTGTATATGGGTGATAGGGTTGTGGGTGGTGCTCGGGGGGGAGACTTTGCAGTGTGTTTGGAACGGGTAGGATGGTCTTTATCAGGGCAGGGTGCGTGTTGTGGAGAGCAATGCAGCAAGGAAGCGTGTGGGATCAAAACCAGTTTACGCGTGGTAGCGTGCACCTACTGCTTAGCAGCAGGGTCGATCTAGAGGTAAGTCATGGCTTAGTCAGCGCAGAGTGCCCCAGTTCATGACCCTTCATCCTAGAGGGAGAGAAAGAAAGAATCCATCGCCCTCAGAAATTCCTTCAATTCCTCCCCCCATCTCCTCTCTGGACAACTATGAGCCGATGCAAGCCCTTCACACTCTCAGTTTTGACAGCCAGGCCATCGTTGGCTGTCAATTCCTCTATCTACATTACCAGGGCCCCTTTTTTACCTCTATCCTTCCTTTACCCTTCGAGATCCGTTGCAAGTTATCAGAGACAAACCCTTGAGGATCCGGATAGAGATCTCCCCTTCTCTGGTGATAGCTACACGTTCGGTCGCGAGTCAAGCAGTGACGACCCATGGGCGTTCTTATACCGCACTCATCCTCCTGCACCTCTACCTACAACACATTACATTGCTCCAACATATTCTCGAGACCGATTGCAAACAACTAGCACAATAACCGAGAGAGAAAGGGAGATCTTCACTAAAATTTTTGAATCAATTCTGTCGGCAAAGTCCTCCTTCGTTCCACAACTAAGGGGATCCGAGCGCTCTTTTCCCAGTAACTCTCTTACCCAGCTTTTCGAGTCAGCCGTTGGACCACTAGCGAACGGTAACGAGATCTCTTTTGGACCGAAGAGCACTATCAATCCGTCCTCTGCTACATTTGGGCTTGCGAAAGCGAGCGATAATAAAGACTATCCCCTTGCCGTTCGTACTGCAGCTGCTAGGGCAGCAGGGCTGAGAGCGGGCCCACAGACAGCCAAAGAAGTCGAGGCGGAGCGGATCAGAATTCGGCATCTTACCCTCTTGACTAGTGCCATGCGAAAGTGCCGGACGGACAGGGAGCTATTAAGGTGGCTAGATCAGTATGTCTTCAGCATGGCATCTGGTAAGGATGCCGGGAGCGAAATCCCGTCTGCGACATACGCGGACTTGTTAGTGGAGGGCATGATAACTTTCCGGCGAGACTTCAACGACCTCATGGGTGCCATGTCGGTTTTTGAGCGGGTAAAGAGGCTCGGAGCCGAGTCTTACGTTGTTGGATGCTCAACTGGAGCTTACAATGAGATGCTCCAGACAAAGTGGGAAGCGTATAAGGACGTTTCCAAGATTGTCGAATTGGTGGACGAGATGAAAATCAATGGTATCGAGGGTAGCCAGAAGACGGTGGAAATACTTCGGTCGATCATCGACGAGATTAGGAAGAGGAAGTGTGGCGCCATGGGCCCAGGAGCGCAGTCTACTATAACAGATGTTGATATGGCGTTGTTGGATAAGCTGGAGGGATGCGCGGGCGAGATACAGGACAGATCGTTTGAGCCTCCGGAGCGTCATTCTCCTATCCGGGATACTCTGGAATACGTTTACAATTGATCACAGAAACTAGGTGGGTTCAAGTATTTATACACCTACTGTGTTGGAGCAGTTCATTTGTAAATATTTGAAAGGTATACTAGAATTTCACTTGTCAACAGTTATTTGGTTGCGCAGTACTGTACAAGCTTGGTAACAGATGAAATGTACTGTACTCGTACCCAGGTTTTAGAGAATTTTCTGTCGCCTGACATTTAACTAGGTGAATCCTTGGGTTGAACTCTGCCGAAAAAATTCACGAATTTTTCTCGCCCTTTAGCGCTATATACGTGCGTATTGTGGGTTGGCGTTCTGAGTGGAAAACCTGGGGGTACAGATCCGGAGCCTTAGCTCCCATACTAACTTTCTCACCCGCGACGTTGAGTGCTAGGTGTACGGTAATATCATACACAACAAACTAATGCAATCAACGGTAAAAGTCTTCAATACTACTATCCATTACTTCATCCTCTTTCTTTGTCAAATCATTATCAGCCCAATACATGATATCTGTCCTGTCTGATCTCCACCCAACACCTGCTTTAGGCAAACATTATTCATCTTTTGATATGCTTGAAAAGGTTTTGCATGACTGGTCTGTTCATGAAAAGTTCAGCTACCATGTTTCTGAGCAAGTTTCAAACCGGTGGATCTATGAGTATATCTACAAGATTGCCAACTACCACTAGAGAGTCTGAGAAAATAGAATAGAGGTAGCATATTTAGAGGTTATGTTCCTTGAGGAATTGCATGACAGTATATACTTGAACGGATGGTAGAAAATATACAGTCAATTTTGGGCCAGCATTAGTGGATTCAGGAAATTCTGTCCCAGCATCTTGTTATTACCCTGTCAACTAGCTCACAAGATATTCAGGATTGTCTATGTTCATATTTCTTGGAGATAATCAATTACCAAGTTACCTTACATGTAAATCAGGCCTTGTCAAGTGGTAGATTTCCAGCTTACCAGCTAAGCTTTTCCAAATTATCATCCTATCTTAAGATCTTCAAACAGCAAAATCCTACTGTACATTTCCATCTTTCAATTGACAAAAACCATTCCCAGTTCCAGTTTATTTTCATTTACCCTTAAGAGTTAGTAAGATTCTTTCAGCATTGTGGACACTTTATTGCAATAGATAGTAAGCATCCTTACTGGAAAGTTCCAAATAACATTCTTGCTTGCTGTCACAGTCAATCCAGTTGGACAAAACCTTGTACTAGCCTGGAGTGTGGTAGAATCAGAGAATGAAATCTCATAGAACTAAAGAGGTTACACCTCAGTGAGATAGCACCCTCAGCTAGATTCTTTCCTTTAGAGGCAACTTTCTTCCAGCAATTAGCAGTTTATTAGTAAGGAATCTTGCTGTTGCTGCAATCTTACTAAGAACGCAATCACTTTATTTCTTCCAGCAACTTCAGCTTGCAATTCCTGCTATCTAAACTAAACTAACTACTCTCAGTACCTATTGTAATGAAGGCCTTGTAAAGGCCTGTCACGAACATGGCTTAGCGAGGAAAAGGGTTTTCACATGACGCATAGTTATGAGTCACAGGTATGTTATTGTTTTGCACATATGACCTATTCGGGTTATATGATTTGTTATGTGTGGGATTTGTGATGCTTTCGCACATGGCTCAAGTATGAGTTATGAGACATGCACCTGACGAGTATGCCTTGCGAGTGTGCCTTACGGGTAAGCCTTGTGCATATGATTGATGTTTCGCACATGACCTCATTATGAGGTCATGGGTTTCGTGCATATGACTCAGTCGAGTCATATGACTTGTTTATTGTATTATGATTGGTTTATGAGTTTTGCACATGACCTCGCTATGAGGTCATGGGTTTTGAGCATGTGATCATTTTGGTCATATGACTAGTTGTTATGATTTGGTTTCGCACATGTGACCACTTTAGGTCACATGACTAAAAGTGGGAAGAACACTATATAAGGAGGCCGATGCGGCCGAGGAAGATAGGTTCTTCACGCTTTGTTCTAAGTACTTTTTCTACTTATTACTTTAACGAATATAAAACACCTTTACGATCGTTATCTTTATTGCAACGTTATCATTATGCCAAGGAAGGCGCCTTACGAAGAAGAGTTAGAGAAAGCTTACTATAGGTGTTCTCGGTAGAAGATAAGGGTCTTGTACTATCGGTAACGTAGGCAGAGGCCTAAAGCTATCGTAAGACAAAGAAAGAAGAAGACAGGAAGAGAAGTATCGTTCCCCGTCACCAAGCACTAACTATCCAGAGAGGGATCATTACATTACAAAGCGTCACCTAGTATGACGCCAAACGATACAAGACGGCATCCTTCAACCCAGACAGGGAAGGAGATATTGACATCGACGATCAAAATCTTAATCTAGGAGGATTCAGTGATGCCCTAGATCACGTCTCAGCAGAACCCTCGAGAGCAGCAAGCCCAGTAACCCCATAGAAAGGATCACCAGTCGATAGCTCTCCTGCCGGAACTCCACGACCCGAGAGAATGTCGGGATCCGCAGTACCTGGGCCACCGGCCCCAGCTGCTCCGGCACCAGGAACCAGCATACTTGGAACGACTGAAAATCAGTTTCAGCCATTTCTTGCAGCCACGCGAAATACAGGGCAAGGAAATGTTCAACGACCAAAATCAAAGGAGCCTGGCACATACGAAGGAGCCGAAGATAAGCTACGAATATTCTTAGCGCAATGCGAGGGATATTTTGCCGTTAAGGGATACGGAGATCGCCATGATGAAATTAAGATTCCATACATGGAATCTCTACTCAGAGGACTCGCGGGACAATGGATCATGCCCTTCCAAGATGGAAGGAAACAGAGTGAATGGGTACGTACGAAGAGTTCAAGGCGACACGCTTTGAATAATTTGGAGACCCCAGCGTCAAAGAAACAGCAAGACGAAAGCTAGAAAAACTCCAGCAAGGAAAACAAACGTTCTCAGCATACTGGAACGAATGTCGACTATTTTAATACCAGGCCGAGTTTGATGACGCGACTCTCTACATCATCCTCCCGAGAAACTGCAGTGAGAGACTCCGAGAGGCAAGGGGATTCTCTGACTTGCGCTATACGACAGCCGAATGATTTGCAAGATGGGCAATCGACAAAGAAAGCAAATTTAACATGGTTCGGAGCAACTCGGAAAATACTATAGCACATAGGGTGGTCCAATCATCCAGGAATGTGGACAGGACCTTCAAACCGCAAGTACCAGGAGGAGAAAGTAGACCATTACCACCAGGCGAACCCATGGAATTAAACAAATCAAGAGCAGGGCCTGCTCTCAATCTGTCTAAGGAAGAATACGCCAGAAGAATGAATGGGAAACTATGCCTAAGGTGTAGAAAAGTAGGGTATCGGATACGAGAATGCAGAAGCCGACCAGACAACGGATACCAGGGAAACAGAGCTGCTGGAAATAATTGTTTCCAAAATCAGAAAAGAAGCAATATCCGCGAAATGATAGCAGAGGATTCACCGGCGGAAAACAACGAGGGTCCCCAGTAAACGGTGGTCTGGGA